TTTATCAAAAATTTATTATCATGATATTAGTTAAAGTATGATCAAATAACATAGAAAAATAGAACTTTCTATAAGAAATTGATATATCTTCGCCACTACTTTTGAACTGATCTAAGTAGTTTTGCCAAAGTCGAGAAATACGTGGCAGTTCTCTGGCGATTTGCATCATGATTACGAAAAAAAAAATTGCCGTTTTTGTCCTTGCGAAATGAGACCGGTGTGAATATATATATCACGAAAAGAATATTCTTCAATAGAAAAATTTCATTTTCGAAGAGCGTCTCATCTGATTCACGATACAATTGTTTTTTCAACTGCAAGAAACATCCATAGTTTTATGATGAGACATTACAAATTGCAGATATAAATCAATAGTTTAATATGTAGCAAATAGAATAAAACTCTTTTGATTTCTGCATGAAAGTCTCAAAACAAATGAGAATTTTTATTCACTATATGAATTTGATTAGATTGCAACAATAACACTTTCAAAGAAACAAATTGCATACAATAATTAAGTTTTTGTTTTGTTTTTTTTTTCATAGATTTATTCCAAAGTAATAATCACATCAATGTCTATCCATTTGTACTCTGTCTCATTCTCTCTCTCTTTCTCTCTCTCTTGTATTTTTTTGTAAATAATGTGCAAAAAAAAGCACATAACTAATTATGATAAACGAATTAAAGTAAAGTATATGTGCGTATGTACGACGACAAATAGACAAGAAAACAAACGAAAAAAAAAATAGATCATACAAGAACTTAAGCTTTTTAAAAAGACAAAAAAAAAAGAAAAGGGTCCACACGTTTGTGAACAATCAATCATAAAGGAAAGTAAAATATGTGCGTGCAGGTCTATATACATATATTTTTTTTTGTAATCGAAAGAAAAAAAAAAGAAAAGATAAATTTGCTGCTGATCTCATCATCACAGAAAAAAAAAGAGACATGTCTACACACATGTATTAGTTAATCCGTATGTACATAAATGAAGAAGACAAGGAATAAACAATTATCATGGAAAAAGAAAAGTAAATATATGAAGCCACTCGTAGAACAAACGAACGAACAAACAAACAAACAAACAAACAAAGAAAAATAAATAACATACAATAACACGTTACACGTGATGAAGATAGAAAAACTACCTAGCAGAAAAAAAAAGGAAACGTACTCATGAGGATAACAAGCGGCCGTATTGTACTTCTATTCTAGAAGATAATATTTTCTTTTTCCATAAAGGACAAAATATATAATATATATAAATCATAGAAAAGAGAGAGAGAGAGAGAACGAGAGAGACCGTAGATTAACAAGAAGAAAGGTCACGCGGGCGAAAAAAACATGGAGTTTTAGAAAAAAAAAAAAAGAAGCAAACACACGAATAAAGTTAGTTTTATTTATCCTTTAATTTTTTGTCCTCCACTGGCATTGAATGATCCATTCGATGTTCCATTTGGTTGTCGACAACTAATTTGGATAGGAATTGGAGCTGCACTTTTTGTTGATGATTCGACACTTGTATGATGATTATTATTATTATTATCATCGTCTATTACTGGAAAACAATCACGACAGACACGTACAGGACGTGTTAAATTTAAAGATGGAATTGTTTTGTAATAATTAGCACAACTATTACAGAATACGTTACCACAATCTAAATAAAATTAAGAGCAAAAAAAAAAGCATTAGATTAACATTCAATAAGCATACAAAAAAAACAAAACCTATTAAACAAATGTCATATTTTTTAAATAAGGATGTACGCCGATGTATTAATCGGCGCCTGCGAAGGCTTCAAGTTTGGGTAGCGGTGGCGAGATTACAGCTGGAAATATTTACTTTCTTTTGGCGGCGGCAACGTTCAGAAATATCTGATGTTTCGACGGCAGCGACTGCAAATTTTCGATGATATTTTTAGTTGTGTGTGAAATTTTGAAAGAAAATGATGGTAGAGAATGTGAAACTGGACAAGAACATTTTTTTTCTCTATCAAAAGTTTTTCAAAAAAATAGTTAGATCTATTGCTTTTTGAAAACAACATTAGTTTAGTCCTATTATGCATAGATGAAACTGGAAACTGGCCAGTGTATCAATAATAGATCAAATCTTACAATGAAATCTTGTTTCATAGTGAGCTCTGTTGGGTTATTAACTTTTCTCATGAGTCTAAAATATTGGTATTCCGATCACTGTTTCATTTTTCTTTTTTTTATAAAACGATACATTGAATGTCCGTACACAATTGTTCAGATTCATGATATAAGTTAGTAACATGCGAGAGAGTTCACTATGAAATAAGATTTCATTGTAAGAATCGATCTGTTACCGGATAGAAGTTCCCAGGAATTTTGCAAAGAGATACACACCAACAGGAAAATACTTTTTTGTTTTATCCGTATTCCTCCAGGTGGTTTTTGACCAAGAAGGGTGCACAAGCATCTCTTGCACTTCCTGGCTATGGCCATGATTACCGATAGTCCGATTTCATCTATGCTATTATGAATACTAAGTTCTTATAAAAATTTTTTCTAAAGATAGAGATCTTAGATTAGAAGCCTCATTCATAGGAGAGCTCAATCCTCTCATGAACAACTTTTTTTTTGACCTGAAAGTAAAAATGAATATTCATTTTACATATTCTGATTAACATACTTCGACAATGATGTTTACGTGAAATAGGCCATTGTTGAAATTTTGTATGACATGAATGACATGTATGAACATTAAAATCTGGCATCCAACGTGTAACAGCTC